TGAGTCGAAATGTTGTCTTCATTGAGACACCTTCCGTTGCGCCTGCGTTGGACGAGGGTGGCTTCGACGACGGGGAGTTCACGTACGACAACCACGACGACATGGTAAGAGACGTGCGAAACTACACTTTCACCCACTCAGTTGATTCGCTCTCTCCTGATCATGACGTCGGGGACATACCTGTGATTGAGCTTCTCGAGCAAATCCGTGAGACAACCAATCGTGACCTTGGGGTTAGTCCTGCAGGAACTCCTCCCACCAACGACGCGCCTAGGACTTCTGGTGGTACACCTTCGGGAGGTAGCCCTGTCTCGCCTGGGGGAGTAAACCCTCCTGAAACGAATGACGGTGCGTCTCCTCCGGGTACGTCACCTGGTCCTACGCCACAAGGTTCATCGCCTTCTGGTCCTGCTACGTCTAGTGCTGTACCGCGGGGTGGATCTGCGCGTGGGCGCGGTTTGTCTCGTGTTGGCCGAGGTGCTCGTGGTGGATCTTCGCGAGGAGGATCGGCGCGGGGAGGCATCACGCCGCGTGGGGGTCGCGGCTCGACAAGTTGAAGTGGTTCTCGTAGTGGACGAGGGTCCACGTCGGCACCTGCTGTCACCAGGTCGAGTTCGCGCATACCCAACGCAAAGACCCATCCGCGAACTCCGTCGTATCTCCTACGCATTTACCGCGAAAGGGGAGTTCCTTGACGTCGCTCATAGGGACGCCAACAACAGCAGTGCACTCCACCAAGCACACAACATTCGAGCCACCGCCTACCCCAACATACACAACGAAATATATCGTTCTAAATGTATGTACCCATGCACGCAGTCGTGGAGGAAGACAGAAACGAAAGCGAGAGACCCAGCCTCAACCGTGCTGTACGTACCGAACCGCCACCCAGAAACCACACCGCGGTCATCATCGTTTATTTGTAGTTTATACTAGACTAGTCCTTGTCACGCCAGAGCCACTCTTGCAATAAATCCCATGACTACTCGCTGCATGGACATCGTCTCCTTGTGGTACATACACTGGTGCCGATCAAAGAGGCGGAGAGATGGCACCGGACGGGGAGATGGCACCAGGCGGATGCGTGCATACAACACCGCCGAACATAGACTACTAGATGAGCTCGCCGTCTGTGTGTGTTTTCGCTGAGCATCGCACCCGTCGGAGAGATCGCATCGGATGCCTTGGGAAAAGCTAGACGAAATGATTTCATTGTATTTCCGCACCGGGGTCGGAAGAATTGGAACCGGTTGGAAATATCGAACGGGGGCGAAAGATGTGCCCTTCGCCCTTCGCACACTTAACGACATGAAATTACACAACATAACATATAGAAGTATGAGACACACAAGACAGCTACCAAACTGATATTCTGAGCCTATCATCCGCAGGGGAGTTGTCCCTACAGGCTGTCTAGGAAATCGTAGACATACAGGTAGTTTTCTCTGACGCTATAATTCCATTGTTAATCTGTCTCTGACTCTTTTCTATGATAGAGATGGACTCGTTGTGTCATGTTGTGTCACATTTTTTTTTTTTTCACGGTGACACCACTCCCGTGTTCCCGCACATCAGCCGCACATACTCCGCACATATGCATACCAAACTGAAAATACGTATGTAAACTGATGGAGACTGTATGTCCTACAACTAACAGGGTACCACACACAAACCGCCCGACTACCCAACAGTACCCAACACCTCTCGTCTGCACCTTCCCAAAATGACATATATGAGACACACAAGACAGCTACCAAACTGATTTGTTGAGCCTGTTACCCGCACAGGGGAGATGTCCCTATATGCTGTCTGGGAAATCGTAGACATACAGGTAGTTTTCTCTGACGCTATGATTCCATTGTTAATCTGTCTATGACTCTTTTCTATGATAAGAGATGGACTCGTTGTGTCATATTAAGAAAAAAAAAAAACTAGGGAAAAGAAAATTCTTTACCCAGTCAAAGTAAAATAATAGGTCGCCGGTGCCATCTCTCTGATGATACGTTTTACAATGGTGGTGATGAGAATCGGAGACCACCAGAAAGTAATGTAGAGAAAGAGAGGCCTTGCCTTACTTCGGATATGGCATGTGGCATGCATGTCGTACCCGGTGCTACTCTCCGATACGGTGTAGTCCAGTGCAAGGTGTTGCAGTCGTGCTGTTGCCGATCGTTTGCTGCTTACTGCATGTACCATAACCGCACGTACGTGTGTGTATCTGTGTAGTCTAGACTATATGGCGAGGTGAGCAAAAATATATAGTCTATATATGAAAATCGTGCGACGAACCGTACGAGGTGTGTGCCACTAACTTACGGCAAAAGGGCACACGGCGTACTCAAATACGTGTGTACGCTTTGGAAGAAGGTTGGTTGCAGTTTTTCCGTGCTGCGCTGTTTAGTTTCAAAGCAGTAGCGGTCCGTTGCATATGCGTCCCTACCTGCTCTCACGCGTAGTGTTGTTGTATGGGCACTTCGTTGTGTTTGAAAGATGCACCGACCTACTCTCCCTTCTTCCCCTCGCTCCTCGACAAGCTTTTGCTTAGACATGGGTTGTAGCGAAGGGGGGGTCTTTCTGGCGAGCAGGGCTAGACTCACCCTCAAGGGATGACCGAAACCTTCTTGCTGCTGCGCATCCGCCGCGAGGCGTGCGTGTGGTGGTGGAGTTGGGTCGGCACTGATGGGGTCAGGCGGGAAAAT